CTTTTCTAATTACAAGATAACGATAAAAGCAGAGGAATTCTGATTGAAAACGGATACAAAGACTGGAGTCCTGCGCACTTTTATAGGAACCATAATAGGACAGGCAACCAGAATAAACAGAAGCAGTGCATGACAAAAACCATGGCAAAATAAAAATGAACAATTATTATATGCTATTTCGAGGTCGCTTTAAGGCTTTGCTTTTTTCATTATCATATAAGGGGAAGTCACTCTAACCGACTCTTTTTTAACGCAACAGTCATCTTCCTATTGAACCCGTACGTCATTTGCAGTGTTATCACGAGAGGTCGCTCTAACCGACTCATTCAGTCACCTCCCTGTGGAACCCTTACACCATTTGCAATGTTTTCAGGGGAGGACTTTTTTTAGTGCAACAGTAACCTCTCTTTTAAACACTTACGCTATTTCAATGTTATCAGAAGTGGTCACTCTAACCGACTCGATTTGTAGCGCGTCAAATTTTTTATTGATCTTTAGGACAATGTAGGAGTCTGAAAACGAAAGATCTACATTCATAAGTTCTGCTCTCTTTCGGTGCCCTTACGAATTTTAGGTTTCTTTCGTTGTTTCCAAAGGGGTTGCAAATCAGTTTTTGTTTCGGGTATTCGTATCAACAAAACGTTGTCATTTATAGACTTTCAATTAAAATTTTGATTGGAACAAATTTCAATAACTTAAATGTTTTTCTTTGAGCTAAAACGACATTCACAATAATATAAATAAAAGAGTAACATGACGGTAAAAATGAACCGAGACGAAAAAATTGTGTACGAAATAAATTGTTTTGTTTGTAGTTCTTATTTACTTCTTCTATAATTCTAAAGGATTCACTTCAGACTTAAGATTTTGTTTTATTTTAAAATACTTAGTATTTGCCAAAACATGCACATGATTTAATATTACGAAAATTTAAACGTAAAATTCAATATTAGGCTCAAAATCATAATTTTTATCATTCTTTCCCTTGTTTCCCTTGCCCTAGTTACAAGTAACAAATAAATACATGTACATGTATTAACAAATAACAAATACTTATTAACAAATAACAAATAAGTATTAACGAAAAACAAATAAGTATTAACGAATAAGTATTAACAAATAAGAAGTAACAAATAACGGAAGTGATGTTTAATTAACTAGAAAATAACCCATGCCTTAGGGAGTGTAATAAAACTGATGCTCCTAAAGTTTTTTTTGAAACAGTATTGGAATTCAATTTTAGATATTCATTCATTTATTAATAGTGATGCCTGAGCAGATGCTCATTTTAGTAAACGCAATTAAAAACACGTGCATATTTCAAAACGAGGCAATTTTCAAACTATTTTTTCCATTATCATAAGGCGAGTCACACGTCTATGAATATTGAAATGATACAGAAAAATTACTGTTATTATATTTCGGTTATAAAATGTAATAAATGTAAGTGATACGTGTTGCATTAAAGGCTCGTTATACCTCAGAAATGAATACATTTTTACTTCTTTATAGAAAGGCAAACATGAGTTAGTTTTATACTAAATTAATGGTTTTAGAGCATGTTGGATTCTTATCACCTGAAGAAAGTAGCTCTGAATGTGAAATTGTTTGTCATAAAATTAGCAAAATGTAAACAAAGTAGTATTTCGACTTTTATACTTTTAATCACTATAATTAACTTAATGACAAAAGGAACAAAAAAAAATAATAAATGGTCCAGGCAGTTGGTCGATAAATAACAATTTGAAAAGTTTATAACAAAACTACAAAATAAAAAAAATACTTTTGTAAAGAAAAGATAAGAGCATTTCTGTGGCAAATTGGGCCTTTAAAGTAGTATATATACACATATATACTTTGATGTATCACTGTTATATCAGGCAAATATTATTTATTTAAACATTTGCTAACATATGAATATTTCAAAACGACGATTTTTTATTCTCAACTTGAAAGCTACATCAAAATTTTAATATCGGCTTTTGCTTACCGTCGAAATATTGCACGGAATTTGACTGGTAACTGGTTGTCCAGAAATTAGACCAGACCCGTTGTAGTCTAGAAAAGTAGTTGTTTTTTTTAATTTTCAAGTTTAATTTTCAAGTAGCCCATTCCGAATCATCCTTAGTTAGACATATGATATTCTAAGAACGTGAATATACGTATTATGTGTACGTGAAATATCGTTTCTTTAAAACTTTTAATGTGTTACTTCATTTCCAGGTGAACGGTTCCGCGAAGTACCTTGCGTAGTAATATATATCAATTGTTTTTAATTATGACCATTTTACAATCATTACAAAAAATTAAAAGCTATAGGAAAAAATAGTTCACGGGCTGTTTTATTTTCTTCCGTTCTAAAATAAATAAGCTTTAAAAAATCTCGAAACAAAGTAGTTTTTTGAATTCCGTACAAAATACTTAATCGTATTGCCGAAAAGCAACAGAAGAAGAAGACAGTTGGGGTAATTGACCAATGATTAACTTGATGAAAACTGTTATAAAAGAATACAAAACAAGAGGGCCATGATGGCCCTAGATCGCTCACCTGACTTATCAAACTCATCCAAACAATTACCTAGACAAGCATTCTGACCAAGTCTCATGACAGGTGAGTCAAAAATGTGACCACTACAGTGTTAACAAGGATTATCCAAATTTGAGCAGTGCGACCTAGTTTTTTACCCAGGTGACACATATTCAAACTTGACCTAGAAATCATTAAAACAAACTTTCAGACCAATTTCCAGGATACTTGGATCAAAACAGTAGCAACTAGAGAGTTAACAAGATTTTTCTATTTTTAGCTCTGGTGACCTAGTTTCACATGCGATTTCGAACTCATCCAAGCAATTACCTAGACAAGCATCCTGACCAAGTTTGATGATAATTGAGTCGAAAATGTGACCACTAGAATGTTAACAAGGTTTTTCCATATTTGGGCGGTGTGACCTAGTTTTTCATCCAAGATGACCCATGTTCGATCTTGACTTAGAAATCATCAAAACAAACTTTCAGACCAATTAACAGAATATTTGGATCACAACAGTAGCCACTAGAGTGTTAATAAGATTTTTCTATTTTTAGCTCCTGTGACCTAGTTTTTCATCCGAGATGACCCATGTTCGATTTATTCCCAGCAATGACCTAGACTAGTTTCCTGACCAAGTTTGATGACAATTGAGTCAAAATTGTGACCACTAGAGTGTTAACAAGGTTTTTCTATTTTTAGCTCCTGTGACCTACTTTTTCATCCGAGATGACCCATGTTCGAACTCATTCGAGCTATCACCTAGACAAACATCCTGACCAAGTTTGATGATGATTGAGGCAAAATTGTGACCTCTAGAGTGTTAACAAGGTTGTTCTATTTTTAGCTCCGGTGTCCTAGTTTTTCATCCGAGATGACCCATGTTCGAACTCATCCGAGCTTTCACCTAGACAAGCATCTTGACCAAGTTTGATGATGACTGATGCAAAAATGTGACCGCTAGAGTGTTAACAAGGTTTTTCTATTTATAGCTCCGGTGACCTACTTTTTCATCCGAGATGACCCATGTTTGAACTCATGCGAGCTATCACCTAGACAAGCATCTTGACCAAGTTTGATGATGATTGATGCAAAAATGTGACCGCTAGAGTGTTAACAAGGTTTTTCTATTTTTAGCTCCAGTGACCTACTTTTTCATCCGAGATGACCCATGTTCGAACTCGTCCGAGCAATCACCTAGACAAGCATCTTGACCAAGTTAGATGATGATTGATGCAAAAATGTGACCGCTAGAGTGTTAACAAGGTTTTTCTATTTTAAGCTCCGGTGACCTACTTTTTCATCCGAGATGACCCATGTTCGAACTCATCCGAGCTATCAACTAGATAAGCATCCTGACCAAGTTTGATGATGATTGATGCAAAAATGTGACCGCTAGAGTGTTAACAACTAAATGTGAACGGACGACGGACGGACGGACGGACGGACGACGGACAATCATCGATCCTAAAAGCTCACCCTGAGCATGCTCAGGTGAGCTAAAAAAAGAAAAAAGATTTTGAGAAATTAAAATGAAAGCATTTCTTAGGCATAATGGGCCTTAAGCCGAATTCTGCTAGATGATCGGATGCTTGGCGTTTACCACTACTGTCCATCAGACCAAACCAATTTTGCCTGTTGCAGATTCATTTTTTGACTTTTTGATTACATTAATTTTAGCATAAGACAAAGTGTAAATAATGTCAAAAGAACTAAATATAGAAACATTATTTATAACTTATTTGAGAAAGCTGACTAGATAGTGCACAGGATTTTTGTCAAAAGTAAACGTCAGCCTTAAAGTAATGCTACACTTGCTTGGACGATTTGGAACGTTTTTGGAACGACGGTATCAATAACTAGGGTATTAGACATGCCTGGTTACGGCGGAGTATACCAACACAATTCACACGACATCAAAGGAACTTTTAATCCAAAACTTTACAGAAAAGGCGTATGACACAGCATGCAGCATGACATTTTCTTAATGGACTATTTGTGTGTGTGTTGCAATATCCTCACCTATCTCTTGTCAAATTAAGCGGCTTTATATTTGTAATAAAATTTTGCAATAAATGGATTGTCAAGTGTGGATTATATAATGTCAGTTACCGCTTTTGAAATGCATTTTATATAATAACAAGAAGTATCTTTTAAAACGATACTCAGCCGAAGCAAATCTGTTTATCATGCAAAATTATATCATTTCTAAGTTTTCAATACAAAAAAGAAATGTAATAATTATTTTTGTAGCTATTAAGAAAATACTCATTTTGTAAACATTGAAATTAAATAACAGCAGATTTATATTGACGATTTTTCAAAAGATAACAGCTTCTATTTAAGGTGTCCCTTTTACTTGTTTTACGTTTGACTAAATTTGGTTATAATTTACAAATAAACCTAAAAAATTAAAAGACTATCCTCATTCCTGTATATTTCATTTTAGAACTATCCTTTACATTTTATTTTATAGTGGCAATTCTGTGCGATTGAGGCGGAGCCTCACAGGGGCCAGTCAGAATTGGCGAGATTTGAGTTCAAATGACTATTTATAGCACGATCTTTGGCTCCACGTCGGAAAAATACTAGAGCATTCCCGACGGACAAACCTTTGCCAGCGGACCCACAGTCACACTTTGCACGACACAAATATTCATCAATTTGTTCCTGGATTTTTTTTCTTCATCTTTTTGGTTATTCAGGCCAGCCGTAATAGCCATGGATCGAGGTGATAAATAATTTTAAACTACATTGTATCTTCTCCGGCTAGCCGATCATGCAGGAACCGGATTCCGGCTAGCGGGAGAAGCCGGAACAGCCGGACAAGACAAAAATTTGTTCCTGCTGCTCCGGCTGTCTGGCTAACTTCACGAACATACAAAACTATCCCTTACATTTTATCATACAGCCATCCTTAAAATTTTATTTTAGAATGGTAAGAACTATCCTATATAGGTTAGAACTATCCTGAACATTTTATTTTAGAATGACCAATGAGTGTCACCGATTTCAGTTTGTAATTTTTAAATGACCAATGAAAATTCTTACCATATTCAGTCCCTCACTGTAAATTTTACAGGAAGTCAAACTGATAACAGACGGACTTTGTCCGAAAAAATATTGTTAGAATTGTCAAACCCCGGCGTAAAATTTTGCAATAAATGGGTGGCCAGGTCTTGTGTGTTTTATTCAGATTTCAGTTGACGCATGTTGATAATACGATGCATGTTTGTTTTTTTATTTGCTTGTAGGAATAAAAAAATTGAGAGCAGAATCATTTATTTTCGAAACTGTTTTGGTAATGAAGATGTGTGGCTGAAGTGATTATACATTTGCTCTGGGCAGAAAAGAAAAATCACAAACTGAGGGAGGCTACTCTAAAATTGGCTCACCAGTTACGAGTCTTGGTCACATTACTTTTCCAGATGTCTTTTATTCATTACCCAATTTTCTATAGTTTTGGAGTTGGGCTTTGTTCAAGATATATTTAGAAACTAATAAAAGGGAGATAATTAAAGAAAAAAACATGAACAAAAATTAAATGATTTCCTTCTCTAATATTGTATCTGTATCATAAATTATTCCTTAAAAATTTGATGACCTTTTGAAGAGCGTCACGACCTGTAGCTGTCCTCGTGTATGAAACCACCCCGTGCCAAGCACCGTACAAATGCTCGTGCGTAACCTCGACTCCAGCAGATTTTAGTCTGGCTTCATACATAAAACTTTCATCTCTTAAAATATCAAATTCTGCGGATAGAAAATAAGTTTTTGGCAATTTCGATAAGTCGTCGGCCATTAGTGGTGAAAAAGATGGATCTGTCACACACGGCTCGAGCTCACGTGCAAGATCTTCGTTGTATAAACTGCCTGGTGGGTCAACGTGTTTTACTTTGTACCTAGGATGCTGTATCAAGCTGACGTCGGCGAACTTCCAGTACTTTGATTTCTTAAATTCATACGATGTGTGATTGTTGGCGAGAAGTTCTGCAACAGGAGGGGTTGATTTACCCGTGCAGTAAATATACCACGCCCCCGCAATAGCGCCACCTAGCGCGAGCTCGTTGCTCTGTTTCACATATGAAGGGACTTGGAAGTTATTGGCTTGGAGCATTGGGTAAATAAGGACTTGTAATATAGGTTGGACTATACCAGTTGTGCTGTATGCCAATAGCCAAGACACGGCTGCCGCTAAATTACCACCAGCGCTGTCACCTTAAATAACAATACAATGTACTTATTAATTTAGCAATGTTAATTTAGCATTAACGTATTAGTTACACAAACCTCATTGATAAAAATACAACAGAGTAAACTCCAAATTAAGACCACGAATAGTTTGACTGTATCTCCAAATATTGATGATATGGAAGCTGGTCATGTCAATTAAAGAAATACGGCAGCTTAAAGGGTGAAAAAATATCATAGAATGTTTTAATGTCCAACCCACAATGATAATACACGTTATCTCAACAAAGAAAATAGAGTATGTTAATCTTTGTCCCGCAAAAACACATGCACGGAGATTCAATTGAGAACTAAGGTATGTAACTCCAATCTACATTTTTCCTAAATATGCCATAAATTATCGAACATGATTTATATTTCGTGTGTCTCGTTTTTTCGATTACAGGTCATGTCCTTTGTTTGTTTGAATACCTCAAACTTTATTAATTTACACTAAAGTAAAAATAATGACAGAAAACAATATTCACGGAGAAAACAAAAAGGCCAAAAAAGATAAACCAAATTTATAAGAATATTGAAATTCCATGTGCATATATCTTATCACCATAAACAAAACTTTATTATGTTTCAATTTCTTCTGCTGGATCTTTTTGATACTACTGGACACGCAGCAATGATGGCTAGAACGTGTACAAGCTATTTGAAATACTGACAAAGGCATGTTGCAATTGCTTTGTAAATGTACCTACCTTTATATACGTGTATTCACATATATGTTATAATATAATGCATTGAAAATAATCTATGGTTACATGTAAAACAAATCATTAGTATATAGTAGTACAACTGACGTTACAATTATGCCTTAAGAATTGTTTACTTGGGCATTCGGTCCAAATGTCTGTTTAATAATAATGGAATATTTCTCAAATATCATCCTCAAAAATACAATCCGGGGCCGCCAAAACTGACCTGATGCCTTTGGTAGTTAATCACTTTAAAGACCGATCATTTTGGATTAGAAAGTACGTCCAAGTTGTTTAAGTTATTTTCGCTCACCAGCTATTGCCACTTTGGTTTTATCCCCTCCGTAAACGTCTGTTTGCTTAAGAACATTCAGCGTTACTGTGTAACAATCGTCTGCTGCGGCCGGAAACTTGTGTTCTGGTGCCAACCGGTATCTGTAAGATAAAATGATAGCGTTATGTGACAACAATGCGAGCGGGGTATACATGATTTGAAATGCCTATAAAAAGTACTTATTGTAATTCCATATTTTCAATAGCTTTCTAAATAATATTTCAAAGAGCACTTCTTTTCATTGCATGACATTTTTATGTGACATACAGTCTATGGAAACCTACGTCATTATATACATCAATAAGAATAAAAAGTAACAAGCCACTGCATGTCTACCAACTGATTCGAAGGCTCGCGTTCGGCAAGCCTTGTACCTACCAGTCCGAGTCAATAATTAATATGTTTAATAAAACTGATGTCGAAGGACAGATGCCTTTTACTGTCTATGTATACCAAAAGAAGAAGCAAAAGCTAAAATAACAAAATGAAATCATTTACTAGTATTGGAAGAACAACAAGCTATGCACACTAAATATTCTAAAGGATGACGTCATACAAAATGGACGCCCCTTGATACTCACCCTACAGAAATGATGATAATGTCCAACTCCTTGGCCATTTGTCTTAAAATGTTTTCATAACAATCTGAAACAAACGGCAACAAAAGTTTATCAAATTAATGTTCTACCTCAAAATTCATTTATTATTACCGATTTCTCCCAGTTACAAAAAAGCATCATATCTATTCTATGTAAAAAAGCATGATAAAATATTTGGAATGGATCTAAAAGAAGGGTAAAATCTATGTTCATATCACTTCTAAGGTCCTTCGTAGCTGAATGACGAACAACTCGAATTATTTTATATAAAAGCTTGAAGAAGACCAGGTCCATCAGATAATGTGCCCTTCCTTCTTATAAAAGCATGAAATGCCATCAATCTAGCGGGGGTTATTTTGAATCATACAAGTCGCACTAATAATTATACAATACGGTTTGTTTCTTAATATGAATTTCTCTTTCACTTTTGATATTTATATCTTTTTTTGAAGAGGGGCGTTCGTGGGCGCCGATTGTTTAAGGTCGTTGACTTTAAACCCCTTGCCCTTCACCACTGTGGATAAGAATCTCGCCAGGGACTTTAGACTCATTAAAATAATGCATGTCTTCCCATGTCTGTAAAACGAAAATCTTCATTTAACCTCTACTGTGTTGGTGCGACGTAAAATCTAATCAATAAAAGTAACAACCAATAATAGTAAAATCGAACCAATTGAAAATATTATGAAGAGATGTATTCAGCTGAATCATAAAGTAACGCATAAACAGAAATATTAGTTGAGTGTCAAGGCCACAACTGACAAAAATACTACCATATGTTTAGCAATACAATATATTGTACGAGATAATACGTATAATATCGAGGTAATACAATATCGAAGTACAAATGTAATACAATATCGAGGTAATACAATACCGAGGTAATACAATATCGAGGTAATACATTACCGATGTAATACAATATCAAGGTAATACAATATCGAGGTAATACAATACCGAGGTTATACAATACCAAGGTAATACAATACCTAGGGAGAACGTTATCATGCCGCCGCCATGGTAATACACTAGGACGGGTAAAAGTTTCCCATCCAAACCATTTTTGCGGTATATACGGACTGGTACTTCTTCTATAGTGGTGTCACGGATCTGAAACAGAATGTCCATTTATTACTTGCATGTATATGTATACCTTTGAAATGTGTTGAAATTTGTTTGTAAAAGTTGTAAGAAGTTTGCAAAACCATGAACAATCCAAACCTTTCGTATCAAGCATTGCCAGAAAATACAGAATATGATGGAGAAAACACTCTAAATCGGTTCCTCTTTACTCCGCATCTTTCAACAAAATGTGTACTGCAAATCGCATTTTAAACACACTTTTAAATTGTTAAAAAGAACTGAGTATTGTTGAAATAATACTTTGTCTCAACTGAAACGCTTTCTATAGTCCGAATAACACTTCAGTCAGAAAATAACTTTGTCTTGATTGCCGTCCAGTTTTGAGAGGTTCAACGGTACTGAATATATCACGAGAATCAACATAATGATATGTACATGCTTTACAATATAATGGAAGACTTCTTCTGTATCATGTTTAAATCTGAATAAGAAGGTAATATGTTCTTAACCGGTAACCTGCTGATTAGTACTTGTCACCAGTATATAGAACCAGGCCAGAATACACATCCATGCAGTCTGATCAGGCTCTATACTGTTGGTAGCTCAGTTTTTTCTTGTTTTTTTTTGTATTTTGATATTGAAATCCCTTAAACATCAAATGAACTGTTCCAAACCAAAAGCAGGGTAAATCTACTACATAAATCCAGTAAGTTCATAGTTAATTTTGACAAAAAATATACCTCTAATCCTTCAGATGAAATAGGTTGAGATGTCCATGCAAACATTGTACCAAACGTTATTCTGGTGATATTCAAATTGCTGCCATATCCAATACCGCTGCCAACCGACCCCTTTAAAAGTAAATATTGATAATTATGCATAGGATTGAGTAAAATGAGATGTGTCGTCTAACTGATATGTTACGTCTAAGGGGTGAATCTTACTTAAAGCCCAAACACAAATGGAAAGGTATTTTTTTTAGAACTTGCTATGTCAAAAACAAAGAATACATGTACTGAAAATGTTGTTTTGTTGTTGTTGTTTTTGCATGATATGGATCTTTAGCACGTGCTAAGATTAGAAACAGTTTTTTCTAAACATTATATGCCAAAAATGTCCTATGGTTGTACAATTAAAACTTTAAATATATATATATATATATATATATATATATATATATATATATATATATATATATATATATATATATATATATATATATATATATATATATATATATATATATATATATATATATATATATAGAAATGAGAGAATATATACACACATATTTCTATCAATTTATCTGCACACTTGTATCTTAAGTGATCCCACGCAGGGGAAAGTATAACTGTATTGAATTTAATTATCTCCCTTTATATATATATATATATATATATATATATATATATATATATATATATATATATATATATATATATATATATATATATATATATATATATATATATATATTATATTTCTTTAATGTTCAGAAATGTATTAAAATGGATTTTTCATAAATCACCAATTCATACTTTCGATGATTTTATTCAAATTTAATTTGAATAAATATACAAATATGTCATCGGTTAAAACATTAAAGCCAAAATATTTCATTGGTTAAAACGCTGAAACCAAACTACATGTATTTCATTGGTTAAAACATTGAAGCCAGTACGCTTTTTACAAGTTGACTGAGATTTAGTGTTTCAGTGGTATACTATGCTTGACTATACATATTGAAATCCATATTTCTCAAACCCGGATTGACAAAAATTTAAATAGTCTCTTACTCATACAATATATAATTTGTGTACTTTCGAATTCAAGGATGCTTAATTCACGTATATTAGAAAGAACACGCAGTCCAAGAACATATGTATGTGCTATGTATCATCATGTCAAAGAACCAGCTCATAAACCAAGGATGGCACACAACTTACTAGCATCAACAATGATTTAGTTCATCAAATTATGGCATCTCTACACCATTATATCGGACCTGGATAAGTTTTAATCAATCTAGATAGCTTTTCGTAAATTAGCTTTTCGTAAATTAACAAACCATCAAATGTGCAACTTTAAATCCAGCAAGGAATGCTTTCAGTGTCCATTTTTCTTGTATGCCTTCGGGAAGCGGAACGTTTAAATAAATCCCAAGATATGCAAACAATAATGCAAACAATATTAAAGCAAACTTTACACCCATAGTGAAATACGGAACCAGTACGTCACAAAGCGATCGTGGATTAACTATATTTTCACATTGACACTTCAATATATTTATCACAAGAGTTAGTTATCCTGCTATAAGAGTCTTAGAATGAATTTAAAAGTCTATTCAATAAATAATTCGCGTTTATATGCCAACTTCCACGCTGTCAAACTAAGTATGGAAACTAACCATGTCCGACTGTGTGTAACGGGAAAATACGGACATTAGCATATCTTAATTCCAAGCGCATGAGTGACTGAGATTAAATTTTTATTCATCATGGCTGGAAAACAACAAATTGATATCGGTCAACTACCGATTCAACAATTGAATGCTCTTACTCAGCAGTTTCAAGAGGTAATATATCAAGTTTCAAGAGTGGTTACGCACACACTTTCCCGTAATATTTTGTAAAACTTGTGTTAAATTATGAAAATTTATCCGTATCGCATAGACGCTCATTTAAAATTACCTGAAACATGCATGAACATCACTATGGAAGTTAAGAATAATATTATAATTCTTTTGCGAGCAATAAAAATTTGCAAGACCTGAGGTTAAGTGGTTTGTGATTCTTGAACAGGTCTAGGATTTCATTACATTTATCAGTTGATTTTATCAGTCTATGAATTTATGGACCATAATGAATCTCTAGACTATCCATAAATATCACGAGAAAGCGAGCTCTTTGCCTGAATTCATATTAATAACATAAAATATTAAATCCAGGGTTCCCGCTGTCGCTCGCCAATGGCGCCAAATGCGACAAAATAGTAATTCTGGCGCTTAAAATCTTCAATTGGCGAATTTTTCAATTGGCGAATTTTACTGGCGCCAACGTAAGATAAAAGCATCCGACAACTAGTACACTTAAATATCATAAGCGGCCGCGTCAATTACATAAGCGGCCCTAATGTGAAAGGTCACGCGCGATTAGTTTGTTTATCAAACTGTATCATCAATTTTGTCATCAATTGTGTGACACTTCAGGAACATAGCAAGATAAAAGTGTCAATGTGTTAATTGGAACAATTTACGTCTTTAATCCTCTGACTTGGAGCACTGATAATTACACATGTGGTCAAATGGTGTTAGTAGCGAATCAGAGAAATGAAAGATCGTCCGTGATGTTGACAAACATTGAAATTTTAGGTAAGTTAATAAAAATTAAAGTTGTGGTTCTATTTTAAAAAGGATAGTTATCAATATACACTTAAATGTATCAGTTTATTTCAGAATCCTGATAAAACTGAAAAAGTTTTATATAAATGTAATGTTTATTTAATCAGCTGCTTATGTTGTTAATCGCTAATTCGTAAATAGTCCACTGAATTTTTGTTTGGGCTATTATTTTTTTAAGTTGAAAATATTGGCTATCATTTTATTTGAGCCAGTGTGAGCCCTGCATATCTAAATGTAAAGTGCTGAAATGTTTAATCACATGCAAAACCTATTTGAATAAACAATATTCTTCATTGTTAAAAAGTACTTAGTATCTATTTCATTTTTTGTTCTTTTTGATTTTTAGATGAAGTCAATTTACAGTGATGTTTTTTGTTTTTTTATTTTGTATCTGTAGATCACCAGAATGTCAGGAAGAAGCTGGAAAGATCTTGGCCCAGCCCAGTCAGTGAGAATGAATAAGTGATAAGAACTGCTATAGACAAAACAGTGGAAAACAGGATCTCCCAACCTCATAACTAACTTAAAATGATGTTTTTGATAACATTTATGTTGTCACATGTATTTATTCAAATGGAATTTGAAAACCACATAATACTATGTCTATATTTTAGATAATAAACATGTGCAGCTGTAATAAAATGAAACATTATAAATATGTGTTTTTAATCTTAATGATATATAACTGCTAAAGATAGGCATGTCTCCCTTGCAGAATTACTGGCTCCATATTGGCTCCAACTTTGGAGCCATTGGCTCCAACTTTTTCTGATTGGCGAATTTGGTGGCGCAAACTAATTTTGACCCAGAGGGAACCCTGAAATCGTTGGATGCCTTAAATTCGTCCCTGCTGTAGGGGTTACTCACTTACTGTGTATTTCAGAAACATTTCAACAAATGTTTAGAAAGTTTAGTTGGATGTTTATAAACATCAAAGTAAATTTAATGTTTTTTCTAAATTCCTTCAACATTGAACACTTGGATCTTTAAAAAATATACTGTATTTATATATCCAAAATAATAATTCCATTTCAGGGAGAGTTATTAATATTCAGATTGACCAACACAAAGTATCCAAAGATAAATTTCATAAAAACTTACAATCAGTGACCACAAACTAATTTCCTTAAACTAGTTACACTTTTTGCATCCAGTTTAGCATATATTAATGTTGCGATACTTCGATTTTCTTTAAGATAATATACTTGGCCTCCTGATATGAGTCAGAGTGATCTAGGTCACTATGTTAACAGTTCATGTTATTCGAAGTATTAACATTGGAAGTTGCTAACGATATCCTATACTTATGGCCATTTTTTTTCCTAGACCATAAATTTTGTGTCATCAATATTTTCAAGAAAAAAGGTTTGTTTATATTGAAATATTATAATGATTGCTGTTGGAGAATGGTTTAAATAAAATCATGAATATTTATTTTTTTCAGGAGATAGAGTTTTTCACCAACTCGTTGAATCAGTTGAAGTTGGCACAGAGCAAATATGTAGAGTCTCAAGAAAGTTTAAACAAAGTCTGCCCAGAGAGCAAGGATAAAGAAATACTAGTACCACTCACCAGTTCTGTATCCTTTACTAAAATAGTTTTCAAAAATAATAGCGTCAAATACATGGGTAAAAGATTTCAGGTTACTGGTATTGACCTGAATTTTTCAGGTTTTACTACTCCTGAAAACTCTTTTTTTATTTATAACCAATGAAAAATATGATCATTGTTTTTAGGGTTTTTTTTAGATTTTTTTTACTGTTACTCATGCAAATAGGAAATTTAACTTCCATGATTTAATAACAGACTATGAGGCTCCTAGGTGTAAATAAGGGTTTAATAATGTGCTCAATTCATGATAAAAATATATATAAATGTACCATGATAGAAGGCTAATGAAACTATATGTATCATATGATTCTTGGCATTATTTGCTATCTTGTCACAAAGTGACAAGATGAGCTTTTGTGTCACAATTTGTCCGGCCGTCCGGTGTCCATCCGCAATTTTTTTTTTTTTTTTTAACAACATCTTCTCATAAGCCGCCAAGCCAATTTCATCCAAATTTCACAGGAATGTTCTCCTTTGGTGGTGACCTTTAGAAATTGTTCAAAAAATTTAATTCCATGTAGAACTCTGGTTGCCATTGCAACCAAAAGAAAAACTTAAAAGTCTTCTTTTTTAAAAACCCAAATAGCTAGAGCTTAGATATTTGGCATGAAACATCTTCTAGTGAGTTTTACCAATTTTGTTTCAATAAAATCTTGTGGCTTTTCTGAACATTTGAAATCCTTAACTATATTTGTAGATGTATGTACCTGGACAGTTAAGTGATGTAGACAATGTGTTGGTAGATATTGGGACAGGATACTATGTGGACATGGTAAGAGATATGTACAGCTAATGTAAATTAGTTAAATATCAAATAAAACAAGTGTGAAAAATACTGTGAAAAAGGTTTCTTGAAATTATCTTTGAATATAGATAAAGAAGTTATAGGTCAAAAAGTAAGGTCATTAAAGACCTACATGTATTATTATAAAATCTTTACATATATGATATATTTTGATTTTTCCCACTAAACATTTCATATATTCTGATCTGTACATTTACCTTCAGACTATACAAATATCTAAATGTGTGTAATAATTGAAAGTACTATTGATGTTGTTTATAACACTAAAATTAAATAGAAAAAGAACAAAAAAATTTTCATTTGAAAAAATAAAAAGGAGAAAAAATAGCATAATTGAACATCGAAACAGGCTTCACAAAATTTTCTCAACTTTCTAACATGTCCAGCAAATAGAGAACTTGTACAGTAACATTTTGTCAAGGCATAGACCAGTTGTCAATCAGAATTTAAGCATAAATTTAGATATTAATCAAAGACTGTTCCTTTTTTGCTTGGATACAAATTTCAGGTTAGCTTGATCAAATGTTAGAGGAGCTGTGATCTTGTGTTCCTCATATGACATGAAAAATACTACATGAAGAAGAGTATTTCAAATAAGCCACAAGCTTTTTACACAATCCAGCTTAAATGTTATAGATATTTAGACTAGGGCTGTCATTGATGGAAAATTTTGTATCGAGATATTGACAGACAAACATTGACAATATATCGACTTTGACAGATACAATGAAAAACATTTCAATCTGTGTTATAAATTGGGATCATGGTCTTATGCATGTTACAAATACTACAAACCAAAAGAAAGTGTTTTTTCTGTTATTTTTGTCACTAACATTTGAAAACAGACTTTAAAGTTCAAGTTAGCCAAGAAAACTGGAAAAAAGTGACTTCTCTTACTAGGTAAAATAGGGAGGTATATTCACTAAGAGAAATTAATTAAAGTTTACATTGTAGCTTGTATTTGAAAGTGTGTTTTGATATTAAATGGGATGATGAATATCAATAATATATCAATATTGCGATATTCAATGACAGCTCTAATTTAGACTATATGTCAGCATATAGTATAATCATTATCATGTAATAGTGTTATTGCAGTTTGTCATTCTAAACTTTCAGGGTGTGAATGCGGCAAAAGAGTACTTCAAAAGAAGAATAGACTTTCTGACAAAACAAATTGAAAAAATCCAACCTGTCCTTCAAGAAAAATATAAGATGAAGCAAGGTAAAACTGAGATATTTATACACCCAGAAGTGAGAGCATATAGCCTTGCTTTTGAATATATTTTATATTATATTTACAAATACTAAGTGCCATAATTTAGCATTTACTTTACACACGTGTGTACAGCGCAACAAAGTTTCAGCTCAATCAAGATATAAAATATTGTTTTGGTTTTGTCTTTCTTGCATAATAACCAATATAAAATGTTTGGTTTTTGCAGTTTTAAAGGCCAGGGGTTGTTGTTAACTGTCTTTCAGTTAAGTACTGGCAGTCATTTGACCCTGGATCTATTTCATATACACTCAACAACTTTAAAAACATACCTGTCAGTGATGATTTTAACATTAAAATGAATTAGTCCATAATGGAAAATCTGTAATACCATAGAATTAAATTTTCATTCCTTAAAAAAGGCAAACATATAGAATAAGTGTTGAAGGGCATGTAAGATGCTAAGCACCTGAAAAAAGTAGTACTGAGTCATAAAAGTAGCAAAATGTAAACAATGTAGTATTTTTACTTTCATACAAAATACTAAATCACTATAATTTTACTAATTGCCAAAAAAGCAACAGAAGCAAAAGATGATTCTGGTAATTGGCCAGTGAGTAATGTTTTGGAAAATAAATAAAGGGACACCAGAATTAAAAAAAAACTTCGGAGAAATAAAGACCATACTGGGGTATGATGAGCCTTTAAAGTAGTTAAATATTTACCTGTTTTATGACAATTACTTAGTCTCAAGGTGAAAGCAACAAGTTCACAATAGTCAGTATTGTGTGATATAACCCATTTGCTAAAACACTGCTGTGAAAATAACAGCCATAAAGTATTGCTAGCAGTTTATATTCCTTAAACACAATAAATTATTGACTTTTGTAAATTTTCACCACAGGACTTTTTAATTAAGTGTCATTTAAAACATAATTGTTTATCTATTAAAATGAAATTCTAACTGATGTTTTTGAAATTGATTATTATCTACTCCAAATTTAATGCAAATATTTTCTACACAAAAATTAATAACATGCACTAGATGTTTGTCGCCTATACAAAGTAAAGAGTTATGGCCCTTGAATAAAAATGTGTTTTGCCCTGACAATGATTTTTGTGTCTCCTGCTACACAGTAGCTGCATCATGCAATTGGCTATTATGATCACTGATTGCTCTTGTTAAAGATGTTGAGAATAGTCATTTTATGATGTGAAACACGTAATTATATGTAGTTTTATTTGTTTATTTTCAGTGACAACAGAGATCTTACAGATGAAGATTGCCGCACAGTTACAAGCTCAGCAGTCGGCAAAAACATAATATGAACAAACTTATTTTTCACTCTTTCATGCAATTTGCTGTGAACTTTGAACTATTTAAAATACATTTATACATAGCAAATTATTATCTGTTTGACTCTTCTGTTCTGATATTATCAGTTGTAGTTGTAGAAATTCATAAATTAGTGATTTTGTTGTATACAAGTGCCCTATATTTGTTGTAAGCTCACCTGAGAACAACTTGCTCATGGTAAGTTATTAGTGTGATCCCCCTTAGTCTGTTGTTTGTTGTCAACAATTTTTTTTATTTAAACAACATCTTCTCTAAAACCAATTACTAGATATTTACTAAACTACTTAGGAATGATCCCCCATCAAAGTTTTTCAAATGGTTCCTTTGGGTTGTATATGAAGGTCATAGGGTCAAAAATTGGCTTCTAAAAATATTTTACTCTGAAACCTCAAGGGCTAGAGCTTAAATATTTGTGGCCTTGCTGAGTCATAGGTTTGCCTTATATGTATGTAGTGAAACATTAAAAAATCTTTGAAAGGCCAAGGGCTAGAGGTTGAAAATTAAGCATGAAACCCCAATTTATCTTGTGAACCTATACCAAGATTGATGAATTTATGGCCCTGGGGTCAAAAATAATCCCTGCCTCTGGGAACATTGTTTTCCTTATATGTATACAGAAAGCTTCTAAAAAAACCATCTTCTCTGAAAGTTCAAAGGCTATGGCTGAAATTATTTTCCAGTTGACCTCTTCCAAAATTGTTAAAATTATTATTCTAAGGTCAAATTTGGCCTTGTCTTGTGTCATGGGTTTCCTCTTTATGTACATAATAAACAAAAATTCATCTTATTTTAAACATCATGGGTCCTTACAATCCTAAGATTTGGTGAGGTTGTCATAAGCAGTAGACAACCCCTATACATGTAGATTTTTAGATCAGTCGGCCACAGGTCAAGATTATAGTGGCCTATACCTTTTTCTGCTCTTAACTACCGGATACATGTATAGAGAATATTAATAACTTTTTGTCCTCGGGTGAGCACTTTGGTGGCCAATGCCCACATGGATAAGCACTGTGAAATCACTTTATTGTATTTGTGTTCATGAATCTAAAACTTGTCAAGTTCTTGCATTCTCTGACAAATTCCTCTAATAGTTACCAGTGCAAGTATATACCTTTATTATATTCCTATAAATTTACATGCAAATCATGAAACGCTTGGACAATCAATGGATAGAAAAACTATGTTTTAGTGCGGTACCATATATGGAAGTGCCAGACTATTTTCTCTGTTTGCTCCCATCTTAGCAGTGCATTATTTAGTACATATGTATTTGGAAACAGGAACCGATGCTACTGGGGGCGTGACCTCTTGACAAAATGACATATTCATTGGTGAATATTATTTCTTGACAGCTATATTTGTGTTTGTAAAATAACTTGTAGAAAGTCAGTGATTTAAATATATTTTTGTCTCAGAATTAATAGGTATATTACAAAAGGAACATTATGTTGTACTAGCTTTCTGGGGCGATGTATTTTGCTGCTTCAGCATGTGAAAATTGGTATTTAATTTTCCAACGCTGCTCATAGCAAAATACAAAGCTTCAGAAAACTAGTACAATGTATACTCATACTACTTAGAACTCGTGTAACAATTACCTTTTTTAAAGCCTAAATTCCCATTCTACTTATACAGGTTACATTTTATTGTATAGCAAACTAGAGTTTTGTAGTTGTTCGGGGGAAATGTGATGTTGGTGTATGATGAATCACATGTTTTAAGTCTGTTTGTATAAATAAGGTGTGTGTAATGCATTACATCATTTCACCACCATTTGACGATATGAATGCAAATGTTAATTTGTTTGCTACTTATTAAATTTTAGTTTTTGTAATTTTGTGCCCCCACTATAGGGGAGGCATTAGATTTACCTTTACGCCTGGGGTTTCGCTTGTGGATTATTGGGTGTTGTCAGAGTAATTGCCCTTGACTTAGTAAAAATTTTCAATTTGTGTTGTGTGAAGCTCAAAAAGTATTTAACCTAGAGTCATGAAACTTAATAGGAATGTTGGTCAGCATGTGCAGTTGTGCACCTTGGATTTAGCTTGTGGATTTATCCAGTATTTCTAGAGTTATTGCCCTTGACTTAGTAAAAGACTATTACTTTTCAACTTGTGGCCTAAAAAATATTTGACCTAAAGTCATAAGATTGAAAAAAACAGAGGAGTGTGGGGGCACCCACACATTTTTAGTTTTAACTATAATATAAACAAGAAAAAGAAACACAGTCTTCTAACTTTAGGTGTACCAGTGAGTGTATGTGTACAAGTGACTTTACGGGTTACTGTCTAGCTGAATAATTTGTATTTGCATTGTATGTAAAAATCTTATTTGTCATTATTCAGTAAAAATACAAAGTAAAAGTTGCTGCCTTTATATACATTTTCCTACAATGGTTTCCAGTACAAGTAAATGTACTCTTACTACATGAATTAGTGGGAAACTATCCAGCTAGCTTATATACTGAGGTTTGTGGTTCGACTTGGGTTATTCTTTCATAATTCACAGAAGGGCACTTGAGGTTTTCCTCCACCTGCAAAGCTTGGATGTTGCCCTGTGACTTTAACAGTGTTGATGTGACTTAAAACCAAAAAATATAAAAACTACATTTTAACATTGCTATGTTGAAACAACTATATTTTGCTAAACTTAAAATCCTTCCATTGTGTCTGATAAATAAAATGACAATATTGGCTGAAAAGCGAGAGACATTTTTGTTGATCAATTTCAATATCAATCTTGTATTGTTCATAGTTCTCTTGAGAGAAGTAATTCAAAACATATACAGTTATCCTCTGGTCTATAATATTAGAAGTCATACATAACTATCCTCAGTTCTGTAACATTTAAAGCGTAACTTCCGTTCTATAACATTACAAGCCATACACATTTATCTTCTGTTCTATAACATTACAAGCCATACACAGTTATCTTTCGTTCTATAACATTACAAGCCATACACATTTATCTTCTGTTCTATAACATTACAAGCCATACACATTTATCTTTTGTTCTATAACATTACAAGCCATACACAGTTATCTTCCGTTCTATAACATTACAAGTCATACACATTTATCTTCTGTTCTATAACATTACAAGCCATACACAGTTATCTTCTGTTCTTTAACATTACAAGCCATACACAGTTATCTTCTGTTCTTTAACATTACAAGCCATACACAGTTATCCCCCGTTGTATAACATTACAAGTCATACACATTTATCTTCCATTCTATAACATTACAAGCCATACACAGTTATCTTCTGTTCTTTAACATTACAAGCCATACACAGTTATCTTCCGTTCTATAAGATTACAAGCTGTACACAGTTGATCTTACGTTCTATAACATTACAAGCCATACACAGTTATCTTCCGTTCTATAACATTACAAGCCATACACAGTTATCTTCCGTTCTATAACATTACAAGCCATACACAGTTATCTTCTGTTCTATAACATTACAAGTCATACACATTTATCTTCCATTCTATAACATTACAAGCCATACACAGTTATCTTCCGTTCTATAACATTACAAGCCATACACAGTTATCTTCCGTTCTATAACATTACAAGCCATACACAGTTATCTTCCGTTCTATAACATTACAAGCCATACACAGTTATCTTCTGTTCTATAACATTACAAGCCATACACAGTTATCTTCCGTTCTATAACATTACAAGCCATACACATTTATCTTCTGTTCTATAACATTACAAGCCATACACAGTTATCTTCTGTTTCTATAACATTTCATGCCATACACAGTTATCTTCCGTTCTATAACATTACAAGCTATACACAGTTATCTTCCGTTCTATAAAATTACAAGCCATACACAGTTATCTTCCGTTCTATTACATTACAAGCCATACACAGTTATCTTCCGTTCTATTACATTACATGCCATACAAAGTTATCTTCCGTTCTATAACATTACATGCCATACACAGTTATCTTCCGTTCTATAACATTACAAGCTATACACAGTTATCTTCTGTTCTATAACATTACAAGCCATACACAGTTATCTTCCGTTCTATAACATTACAAGCCATACACAGTTATCTTCCGTTCTATAACATTACAAGCTATACACAGTTATCTTCCGTTCTATAACATTACAAGCCATACACAGTTATCTTCTGTTCTATAACATTACAAGCCATACACAGTTATCTTCCATTCTATAAATTACAAGCCATACACAGTTATCTTCCGTTGTGTAACATTACAAGCTATACACAGTTATTTTCCATTCTATAACATTACAAGCCATACACAGTTATCTTTCGTTCTATAAATTACAAGCCATACACAGTTATTTTCCATTCTGTAACATTACAAGCCATACACAGTTATCTTCTAGTCTATAACATTACAAGTCATACACAGTTATCTTCCGTTTTGTAATTACAAATAACATTGCAAGCCATACACAGTTATCTTCCGTTCTTTAACATTCCATGCCATACACAGTTATCTTAAGTTCTATAACATAAGAAGACATACACAGTTATCTTCCATGATATAACTTTACATGCGATACCCAGTTATCCCCCGTTGTGTAACATTACAACTCATACAAAGTTATCTTCTAGTCTATAACATTACAAGCCATATACAGTTATCTTCAATTCTGTAACATAACAAGACATACACAGCTATCTTCCATTCTATAATATTACAAGCAATACACAGTTATGTTTCGTTCTTTAACATTACATGCCTTACACAGTTATCTTCCATTCTATAAAATAACAAGCCATACACAGTTGTCTTCCATTCTATAACATTACAAGCTGTACACATTTATCTTCCATTCTATAACATTACATGTCATACCCAGTTAGCTTTCATTTTTTAACATTACAAGCCATATATAATTATCTTCCGTTGTGTAACATTACATGTCATAAAGAGTTATCTTCCATTTAGTAACATTACAAGCTATACCCAGTTATCTTCCGTTCTAATACATTAAAAAACATACACAGTTATCTTCAATTCTCTATTATTTTTAAAAACATACACAG